GTTGTGACTATTTTGTAGATTACTGTTCTGATTGATTTTATTTAAAATATTCTATATCTGTCTTTCAACGATGGATTTGTGGGATCCTTTGTTAATAAACGTTTGATCTCTTGATTGTTCAATTTGATTGTGGAACAAGAAGATTATTAGAGGTGGTTTATAAAGTTTCTGATTACGGTAATTCTATATTTGCAGGGAAACAGACAATTGAAATTAAAAAGGCAAGAGTTTGAGCTAGTAGATATTCTTTTTGATGAGGCAGTGCTGAAGGAGTGGCTATTAGAATCGGTTAAGAGGTCCGGGAAGGAAAGACGATTATTTACGTTAATTTCATTTGAATTTAATGAGAAACAGAATCATATTTCTAGAAGTTTCTATACAGGTTTCTGTTACTACAGCTTGGTAAATGGGTTATATAAAATATAATCTATTTACCCCCTCTCTCTCTCTTTCTTTCTCTCTCTTATATATATATATATATATATATATATATATATATATATATATATATATACTTCAACTACTACTACTACTACTACTACTAATAATAATAATAATAATAATAATATATACATTTATTAATCACCGCCTGGTACGACACTGTTATATTATATATATAATTCTCTATCATTTATATATATATATATATATATATATATATATATATATATATATATATATATATATATATATATATATATATATATATATATAGCGGCCATAATACAAGGAGCGGAAACAACAAAGACATAAATATGTGTATTACTTAAAAAGTAATGCATGATTAGCAATGAAATTTTTAACGAATAAAGATTTGGGTGTAATGCATAAATATTATACAAAGTTACAAAAATTTACATAATAGCTTTTTTTTTAAATAAAGATTAAATGGAACAAAAGAAATAAGCTACTGAACAAAAGTTAAGGAACGATCTTGTTAATACTTGATTGTGAACAAAATATCAACAAAATTTAATATTTGGTAGACATCCCCTTATTTTCAATGACTTCTCTGCATCGTCGACCACATGATCTAATTAATTTCATTTCAATGTGTTAATATATATATATATATATATATATATATTAACACATTTCATCAGAAATGAAATGTCTTAATCAAAACATGATTACATTTGCGTAGCGTTTTTTTACATACATCTTTTATGTAATATCGTAAAATAAACTATATATATATATATATATATATATATATATATATATATATATAGGTATATGCATATTGACACATCTCATCAGACGTGAGTTTTACATGGATATATATATATATATATATATATATATATATATATATATATATATATATATATATATATATATAAAACTTGAAACATGATTGCATTTATGTTGGGTTTTTTTTACATGTTTTTGATGTACTCTCCTAAAATAAATATATATATATATATATATATATATATATATATATATATATATATATATATATATATATATATAAAACATCCGTTGGTATATAATCCAAGTGAATCCTAATAATAAAAATATTAAAACTGATCCATAAAGAGAGCTCAATGTATTTATTAAAACAGAACATATATAAATTATATACACAAGAACTTAAAACTCCTACATTGTAATGATCATTTCACCTTACAAAAATGTTATCTTGTAAGGATTTTTATTGTAACCTAGAAAAGGTTACTGAATGAGGAATAACAAAAACGGAGGTTGGAATTGAAATGATAATCTTTATAACATCAACAAAATACAATACTCGCCAGCGACGTGAAGTAGGTAAACTACTGCTTGTGGTTGACTACTTAGCATATTAACCTCACTTACAATAATGTCCAACGTATTTATGAGGATTCGGACATACCCATTAGTGTTCATAGCTACGGTATATAACAAATTTTGAAACCGATCAAGGCAAAAAGATAAAATAAAATGAAATCCTAAAGCAAATATTAAAATAAGGCAGAGGAAAAAAATGAAAGAAGAAAAACAAAAAAAAAAAGACAAGAGAAAAATGAAGAAAGAAAAAAGAAGGTAAGGAGAGGAGTAGTGATGTCTAGGCAGGGGGATGATAATAGAAAACAGACCCATCATGACGTGACCTTGACCTCTATTAGAATATCCACTTCCGGCTACTATCAAGACAATAGATGTAGGGAATTACGGAAGATTTTTATCTTATATTAACAAATTGACTATTACTTTAATATTAAAAGATATTATATATTATATTAAAAAGAAAAAATATAAAAAATTATTTCAAAATTATTTATATATTAAAACCCATATATTGCTTTAATTACTTTTTAGGAAATGTATTTATTGTATTCCATATTAAAAATAACATATATTAATTTATATTGATAAAACTATTACCATCTATAAGGAAATAAAAATAAAAAATTAAATATTTCATATTTTATATTAAAAAATAACAATTAAGGAAGATTAAGTAAAAAGAAACATCTACACATAAAAATTTAAAGATTATGCGTATAAATCAGTGCAATAAAATGATGTAGGAATAATATAATAGAAATATTAAATAAATTGAATCTATGAGAAAATATAATAAGTAATAATTACAAACAGATAATTAACAAAAGATAATAATATAAAGAAAAACGAGGTATAATTATTAATTATAAATAGCATACACTAAGATGTATTTATATAAATTATTTATTATTAATAATTAACATTATTTTTATATTATATTAAATAATATCATTAAATATAATTAAATATTATTACATTAAGTAATACTATACAATAATAAATACATCATTAAATAACACTACCATTAAAACAGTGCTCGATGTAAAGTCAAAGAAATGTACCTAACGGCGTGGAACAAGTGTATATTTATTATTATTATTATTATATTAGTAGTAGTAGTAGTAGTATATATATATATATATATATATATATGAAGGAATATAGTTTTAATGTGTGCTATATTTATGGAATAAAGTGCTCAATATCAGAGATAGAACGTATGTAAATATAAATATAAAAGTGAACATTGAAGTCAACACTCAGAGGCGACAGGCTGTTTCATGCTGGACACAATCGTCAGGCCGCGAGTGTTGACTTCAACGTTCACTATATTATATATATATATATATATATATATATATATATATATTTTTTCAAATTAAAAATTATAATGTTTTATTTTATGAAAGTATTTATTTATTTATATATATTTTGATATTTCAAATTGTCCTCAATTTTCATCAGAAATAACTGTTTTGTTACAAATAAATTAAAATTACTGTTTGTTGGCAAGTAGCGTCCTTCGAGAGACGCGGACGTCACGTGATATGGAACGTCACTGTTCATATTCCTATAAAACTTGCCAACAAACAGTAATTTTAATTTATTTGTAACAAACAGTTATTTCTGATGAAAATTTTTTAATTTGAAATATTTTATATATAAATAAATAAATATTTCAGAAAATAAAACATTATTCTCATTTGAAACTTTTCTATATATATATATATATATATATATATATATATATATATATATATATATGTGTGTGTGTGTGTGTGTGTGTTTTTGTGTGTGTGTGTGTATAGATATATATGTTCGTATATATATATGTGTGTGTGTTTACACATACACACACACACACACACACGCACACACACACACACACACACACACACACATATATATATATATATATATATATATATATATATTAGAAATGGACAAAGTCCGACAATTTATTTATTAAAGACATTTTTATGTTTAACGTTCTGTGGCCGAGTCGGTTAAGGCACATCAGCGTAAATGACGGTTCCGTATAGGATGCAGGTTCGAATCCTGTCAAAGGACGAATATTTTCTATGAAAATTTCTCGGACATTTCGGCCGGTAAATGTTATTTAATACTGTTTATTATAAACAGAGCATTTACTTAAATACTTGTATCTATAAAAAAAGAACGTTAAACATAAAAATGTCTTTAATAAATATATATATATTTCGAAAACTTCTATTTTAAATTGTTTAAACGGGGCGCCAATCATAGCAGTGAATGTCATTTGCCTCAAAATTGTTTTCTCCGGAAACGTTAAAATCGAATCTTTCCTTTACCCAATGGTCCATTTTATCGAATCATTAACAGTTAGAAAATCCAAGGGAGATAACTTTATATCTGAATAGTGCTTTTTTTAAAATTATGCATGATTTTCAAATTTTATTTTATTTTATTTTTTATGATTATGAATATCTTTTTTCTCCATAAATTCATCACTGAACTCTTCAATCATAATGTAGCTTAATACTTTGGTTTTACTCTAGAAATATTTTAAAGCTGGTAAAACTAACCCATTTAAATGTTTTTTTTTTTTTTCAAAATACATGCGTCAATGAATTATTTAAAAAGATGTCTTTAATGTTAATTGCTAGTAGTTTTTCTTTTATTTATTTTAATATTTATATTTTAATTGTTTTTTATTTATATTTTATCTGCTTTGCCCGACAAAAGACAATTTCTTGGTGTAAAACTATCATGGGAACTACTTCCCTACGCACACTAGATATGTGTGAAATCCCTAGCGTAGTAATACATTGGGACTCTTCACTTCGAGTTGCGGCTCGAGTTAGTAAATGAGTCATAACTAAGCATTGCTTTATTTCTAACTAACCGAATTACCCGCGCCTTTCTGCGTGTCACACTTTTTTTTTTTGTAAGGAAATGATGACTGATTTTTTATTGTCATTGTTATGATTTGTTGAGAAAAATGATGCATTTCAATATCACTCAATGACCTTGTCAATGTGACCTCCATCTTCTGGATCTCTCCTTATATATATATTGGATAGTCATTCCCTTGCTCAAATTTAGATATAATTTAAATCAAGGGGGGAAAAAGTTTCAGTGGGGGAGGGTATGCAAAAACAACTTGATCTGACTCCTTTGATATGTATTTGATGCAATAATTGATTGAATGTGATTTTATTTTTTGAGAAGGAACAGAAAATTTCTGTCTAATAGATAAACAGACTTAGATAGATAGATAGATAGATAGATAGATAGATAGATAGATAGAAACAGATTGAGATAGATAGAAAGAAACAGACTGAGATAGATAGATAGATAGATAGATAGATAGATAGATAGATAGATAGATAGATAGAAAGATAGATAGATAGAAACAGACTGAGATAGATAGAAAGAAACAGACTGAGATAAATAGAAAAACTGAGATAGATAGATAGATAGATTGAGATAGATAGAAAAATAGATAGATCAGATAAATAGATAGATAGATAGATAGATAGATAGATAGATAGATAGATAGAAACAGATTGAGATAGATAGAAAAAAACAGACTGAGATAGATAGATAGATAGATAGATAGATAGATAGATAGATAGATAGATAGATAGAAACACACTGAGATAGATAGATGGATGGATAGATAGAAACAGACTGAGATAGATAGATGGATGGATAGATAGAAAGAAACATACTGAGATAGATAGATAGATAGATAGATAGATAGATAGATAGATAGATAGATAAACTTAATTTAGTCGACGGTACAAAATTGTGACCACCAATGAGACTTGATAGATAGATATATGAAGAGAGAGATTTACTAACATTAGTTTAACCGAGGGTAGAAAGGTGTGACCCCCATTGAGACTTGAACAAATTGCACAGAAGTGAATTTCCAACGGACGAGCTGAGAAACTATTATTCCACATCGAGGCTTTCAGCCTCTGTCCCCGATACACAATACTTTGCTATTTAAATTTTTGTTTTAGCCACGACAAAGTCATATAATATTTTCAGACATCCACCTATCAATGTCATCAGTATTTAACCTTGGAATGCCCCGCTTTCTTCCTTTTCCGTTTTCTGCACTGATTTACCTTTGCCAAAATACGAAAGCAATGAAGCGGAGAAAGTGGACGCCATTTCGTTAGTTCATAACTTACAAAGCAAATATCGACAGAAATACATTTTTGCTACCTGCCCGGCCTTCGGGTTTCCATATTAACCAATTTCCTTTCATCTCTACATTTTTTTTTTTTACTTAGTTTAATTTTCGCTTTTATTCGTTCTTGATATCGACTTGGATGTGCGGTCGGTGTAAAGGATAAGCGGCTCAGAATGAAAAGTCGAATAGACAAGATCGAATTCCAGTCAGTGTCGTTACATTCATTTACGTGCAAATACAGCTGAGAATCCCTCTCCTCACCTGAGCAATGAGTTAAATCGTAGGACTTGTATCTAGAAAAATGATTGTTATTCTAAAAAATTCTTAATGCAATATGCATTCACAAAAAATAATTATTCTTACAATCCAAGAAATACATTTCGGCTTTAAATAACGCAGAAAGGGTTGATAAACCAAAAAAAAACAAAAAAACAATTGGTATCGACTGCTTTATCTTCATTTTAAAATTTCCTTTGTTGTTCTTTTATCGATTGATATACTTGCCATTCTTTCTTTTCCTTGGTTCACTGTCTCGTGCTAGACAATTTTCTTCTTCAGGATTTAATTTTACATCTAAGTCTATTATTTGTTCATTTTTTGAATATTACTGCCACATCTGGTCTAGTGCTCCTGTTATATATTTAGAGAGCTTTGATAAAATCCAAAGAATCAGCAATGTTAGTAGTCCTGACCTGGCATCTCCGCTTCCCTGTGCCTTTTCTATAAATTCTTTCATGGTAATTGTTCTGATGAACTTTTCTTTATGTTACGTAGATTTTATGAATTTAAGCGTAGTACTAGATTAGCAACGAAGTCTCATAATTTTACAGTCGAAATGTAACCGTAAGTTCTATGCTAACAATTTCATTCTTCGCACTTCTCGTTTGTAGAATTCTTTTCCGGTTTCTTGATTCCCAGTCAACTTTTATCATCAAAAATTTAAATGTAATATCAATCGTTATCTTCTGCCTTAAGTCGTGTTCTTTTAGTGTTATCTCCCGTTAATAGTATTTTCTCATTCTCTGTAACACGCATTAACCCCTTCCGTCTTAGTGGCTTTATTTGCTTGCTTGGGGTGAAATGATTAAAAAGAATTCTTTTCATTGATTACTCTTTCTTATTTTTTCCTTTTCTACCTCTTTATTGCGTTTTTTTTTTTTTTTTCTCTGTTTTTTCCATTTCTGACAATATTTTTATTCGTGTATATTTACCGTTCTCTCGGCAGCTAGCTGTTAATTTTTTTTTCTTCTCGTCCAGGTCTGTCTCCATGGTGATTTTTAGAGTCGTATCTTGGTCCCAATGGCACCAAATCTGCTAAAAAAAAAAAGATTAGCTTGTCTAGTGCACATCTTCGTCAGTGCAAATTGCTTCAAATCCCAAACCGTAGATCGTTCTACCTTACTCTCGTAGGTGTAGACTAGATCCATGGCGGTGATAATTTTCCCTTCGGCTTACTCAGTATAAGTGATAGTATTACTGATAATATTCCGATTAAAACTTTCAAGATACCAAGAGACCACAAATGTTTCACGCCACCTGTGAAGGCGAATAGCGAGACATTATCACGGAACACCTAACGAGGTAAGATGACTTTTTTTTCTAATGTTCATACAGGTCAGTTATTTCCTCGCTGTAACATTTTGCCCAGATCCCAACAATTTCTTAATTAAAGCTAAAAGAAAACTTGTGATATACTAAATAAGAATGATAGTGGTAGCAATGAGAATAACCGCTTCCATATTGGAAACATTCGATATTCATTGACCAAACAATTAGTGTTTCTGTCGGTTGAAATTTATAAATTTTTTCTCATAAGATAATCGTTATCTTCTGTCTTCTTAATTCTTGGTCTTTTATGTTCTGTCTTCTTAATATTATTTTCTCATATTCACTAACACTCAGTAATCCTCACGGACACATAGCACAGTGGATAAAGGTGTTAGTTAGATCCAGTGAGAGGACCCAAAGAGTGTGAGTTCAAGACACGGTTAAGGCAGTGGAGAACTTTCAGAGGGAAATTAACAGGAGATAATTGATAACTGACATCCATTAAACATGGCACGTGGAACTAGAACAGTCTACCCCAGTGAGCAAAATAAAGGGTTAAGTTCAACATGCCAACCAGCTGAAGAAGGCAGGAGCGTACAACGGCCGAAACGATTTAAATAAATATAGCGACAAAGATGAAGACAATAGTCCGAATAATGTAAATAATATACATAATATCTCATCTCAGAAATATAGACAGATACTAAAGGGCCGAAACGTTGTAATAAATATGGCGATAAAGATGAGGACAATAGTCCGAATAATGTAAATAATGTACATAATACCTCATCTCAGAAATATAGACAGATACTGAAGGGCCGAAACGTTATAATAAATATGGCGACAAAGATGAGGACAATAGTCCGAATAATGTAAATAATTTACATAATACCTCATTTCAGAAATATAGACAGATAGTCAGTAATCCCTTGCGTGTTAGTGACTTTATTGCCTTGCTTGGGGGTGAAATGATTTTTTTAGAATCTTTCTTTTCATTGACTGCACTTTTTTTTTCCTTTTCTACCTTTTTGCTTTCTTTATTGCATTTTTTTTTCTCTTTCTTTTTCATTTCGGACAATATTTTTTATCGTGTGTCTTCACAGTCCTCTCATCAGCTAGTTGTTAAGATTTTCTTTTCTTTTTTTTTCTTCCCATCAAAGTCTATCTTCATGGTGATTTACAGCGTCGTTATCTTGGTCCTAACGGCATCAAATCTGCCCAAATTTTATTAGATTATGTGCTGTGTATCCTTGTTCCCTCTCCTTAAGTCTTTTTTAACTGATATTCTCTAACACTCAGCCGCCTCTTGCATCTTAGTGACTTTATTACCTTGTTTAGGGTGAAATGATTTTAAAAAAGAAAGAATATGTTATTTATTATCAGTCGAAAATTGCCCTGCGGAAAAATTATATCTATTAGCTTGGAAAGATTCCATTTTTGACATGTTTACTTTGAGAGTATTTTCGCTGAAATTACAGTAAAACAACGTTTACTTTATATGTTCGATTTTTCTTTTTTTTTTTCTTCGCAAATTACTTAATATCAGAATGGATAAATTTTGTATCAATTTTATCCTTTTAAAATGACTTGACTCGTATCAGACACTAGATGTCATGTGAATTTGAAATGGGATCTTTGGGAAAAGAAGCGGCAAGTAAAACACGTTCTACTAATGTGAATTAAGTTTTAAGTGTCCATATGTATCAACAATGTTTTCGCTAGTTTCGTTCGGGAATGTTTTTCTCTTGGAGACTCTTCTCGATCAGCATGACCAAGTTCTGCAAACCATAGTTGAGAAAATTCTTAAGTAAAATGCATGAGAAATAACGAAGTCGTTCAATATCGGTCATACATCATCACAAAAAAAAAACATTCATCAATTTTGAAAATTGCCTAAGCTTGGTAAATAGATCCCTCATTGTTTGACTGTTTCACAGCTTAATCAAGAGGCTTCTCTCTGACATTAAAAAATAAACTTGCTACCAAACCAGTTCTGGTTTGGTTTGGTTTGGTTTGGTTTGGTTTGGTTTGATTTACGGCATATCAACATCAATGGGTTATTTAATGCCGAAAAAATTTTTATTTCTGGTAATATTTTGTTTTGTTAAAAATCTATTTCTGGTAAAATTTTTTCCTTCAAAACTGTATTGCTGGTAATATTTTTTATTCAAAAACGTATTATTGGTATTAGGTTGGTGCAAAAATAATGACGTAATAATGTCGTTTTTTGATGTATTTTTTAACGTCAAAAACGACATTCTTACGTCATTATTTTTGCACCAACCTAATATTTTTTTTCAAAAATGTATTGCTGGTAATATTTTTTCTGCAAAAATTTAATCCTGATAATTGTTTACAAAGTATTTCTGGTATTAAAACCTATTTTTACATTTTCATAGTGTTTTGACTCCAGTTCCAGGGTTAACTATTCACCCATAGCTGAAACCCTAACAGGTGCTACCACCCCGTGTCTAGGTGAACCTGGGAACACCAGCAATTAAGAGGTGGTTCCACGCTCCTCAAAACCTCCTGATCAGAGGCCTTGCTGCTGGACGTAGTTTATCGTCTTACCCGCGGAGGGACGGCGAACATGTCCCGGGTAGAATCCTTTGAGAAATGGTTCGTCATACCCGCTTAATAAAAAACGAAACCAGGTCGACACATGTCCACTGTGTCTGATTGAATATGAAGGTGTTGGTGCAAAACATCATTCGAACTGTTGTCCCTCATCTTTATTGCCATAATAATGTTATTGGAACCGGACCCTTTATTTAACAGAGTTAGATTGTTCTAACTCCAGCTGCCATGCCAGGTGACATTTGTTTTCATTTAATTCTCTTTAGTAGCTCAACTCTCCAAGTTTTGTTTCCACTTAAAAAAAATCCACATGGTCCAGTATTTTCGACATTTTATTATTAATTGTGAAGTCAAAATTGGTATTTTTTCTTTTGCATCGAAACCTAAAAGATTTGATCTCCGGAAGACCAACAATTCGCCAAATACGGATAACGAAGTTAGAGTTGGTGCAAAAA